GAGAAAGATGGGCTGACCATGATGGAAGGGCAAGGACCCCAAGAAGAAGCCAAGCCTGAGGCCAAGAAAAGCGAGCTCAAGATCAGGAGCCAAAGCGGACCGAGAAGAAAGAAGAAACGCAAGTTGCCAATTTTGTTGAATGGGCAGTGACCCGGAAGAAAGAAACCAAGGACTGACCGGAGGGCTAGTTACCCGTTACTGCTTCAGGGAGTGACCGATGCTAAGAGGGAAGCGAAACGCTATGTTACCCGCGAGATATCCGCTTTCTTTCTTCCTGCAGTGGTAGCGACACTACCGATGTGTAAAGATCAACTCCTGCTTCTCTGTCTTCTTCAGTTAAGTCAGTTCAGCTGGGCCTATTTGTATAGCAAAGAGCGCCTTCTGTTACTCTTCTTTGTTGAATGGAGCCGAGGTCGGCGAACGAATGTTATTAGCTATTTCCTCTAATTGTATTTCTCGCATTCTGCTAGGCCTCTGGGCCTATGTTCTAAATGAAAGAGCTATGGACTGAAAACCTAAAGGGAAGTAGTTCCCGCATCTGCTAATTCAGTCTGCTGTGGATTTACCGGCTTCCAAGTCAGCAAAGTCTAAAGGGAAAGCTAAACCTGGAGTTCGAGTCGGAAATCTGTATTATCTTCTTAAATAAAGCCAAGTAAATCCAAGTAAAGTAGCTAGTGCATCTCCTTTCTTGCAGAACCTCTGCTGCGAGGGAAAGGGTGGTGACTTCTAAGGCGAGTAGTTTCCAAGTCAAGGGTTCGAGGACCTATAGTTTATAAGGGTGGTGACTACCTATGTGTCAAGCAAAGAAAGCTAGGCCTAGTACTTCCTATTTGAAGTGAAGAGAGCCCTGGGAAGAGATGAGTTCAACCTGGAGTGAAACCTAAGGAAGCAGCTCAGTCTAGTTCTTTCAAGGCTTAGTTTAGCGTCAGTTGCAGGATTGGGAGTGTAGTGAGGATAGCCCAGGTGGGCGACCGAATGAAGTGAGTTACGAGTTACCGATGCTGGTAGTTTCCGTTACTACGGCTGATAAATAAGCGCCTCAGTGTAAAGAAAAGCTAAACGAGTAGCGTCAGTCTGAAACCCTCGTTTAAATCCAAGTAGCTAGTCGAGTTGGAGCGGAGGAGCTCAGTCAGCTAAGTCGATTTATGGCATCGGGGAGTCAGTCTCTAAGGTCAGGCTATGCGTAAAGAAAAGATAGGGAGAAGGAAAACGCATAGAGGAGTTTGATCCTGGCTCAGAAGGAGCAAGTCTTCTTCCTAGTGGAACGAATGAGAGTCTGTGGCAATTGCTTCGCAACCTGCATCTATTAGTTCCGGTTCATCTCTGACTTTCTGCTTCGTGTATGCATTTCTTATTTCCATAAACAGAATAACTCCCCTTCCTCACATACAGGAAAGCACAGGGCTCGGAGAGCGCCTGCCAAAAATTCCCCGAGGGAAATCTTTGAATGGTTAGCCAGATCGGGATAGCCGCGCTTACCTCAATGGCGGGAGAGACGGGGTTCGAGAACCCTTATTTACTTAGATTGGTAGGGAATCCACAGGAAGAACGAACCAGGAGACAATGACTTTCGGGGTTAGCGGGCTTACCTCGTGGAATGGCCGTTGAATGGCCTCGGAGTGAACGGGGGTACCTCAACAATGAGAGTAGACCCTCTTGCACGTGGAATTCCTCAAAGACAGGAGAGGGAAGACCGATTGTCTTACTGATTCTGTTGCTGAACAAGAAAAAATTTCGTATAGTATAGAAAGTAGATCGAATCCGTTTTTGTTCCGCTGACATAGTACTCTTCTTTCTTTTATCGCTGGTCGAACCTATTTCAATTCCTCTTCTTTCAGTCGATCGGTCAATAAGGTCTTCACCCTCCACCGAAAAACAATTGTGTGAAAAAGAAACTCTCTTTTTAAAAGTTCTGTTAGGTTCTTAGTAGCTCGGAAACCTTTATCTGGACATTAAGAGCGTCAAGGATTAGAGCGGATACAAGACAGTCCCTTCCCTTCCATCCAACTACACGGGACTCCTCCTAAAAAAGCGCGTAAGGGGCCACCCACTCTTTCCCCTTGCCCCTCTCACTCATATGCCCGATACACATATGCGGGTAGATTCAGATGCATTTCGAGTCCTATTTTAAGGCACATAAGCCCATGGAGTTCTAATGCCAGTTCCCAGCGATCCAGTTAGAGGAGTGGCAGTTGTGGGAATAGCAGTATCTTTTATATTTTCAATAGACCCAGTATCCATATTTGTATAAGTTCCAATAGAGAGATTCAAAATAGGACCAGGATCCTCTCAGGTCACCAGCAATCCTCCCGTCACCACTCAGAATGCAGTTTACATCACCATCCCAGAGTCCCAAGAGGGTAATCAGGATGACAAGTTGAAGAAAAAAGCCGAAGAAAAGAAGGTAGCCAATCAGCTAGAGAGCTTAGAAGAAAAGGTCAAAAGCCTACAGGGGATCGACTCTTATGGCAGTACCAGTTTCTCTGACCTATGCTTTTCCCGGATATGAAACTCCCCCACAAGTTCAAAACTCCAGACTTAGACAAATATGATGGAACAGGCTGTCCTTTTACCCATTTGAAAGTCTATTGTGGAGAAATGTGTTTATACGGCGATAATGAAAGACTACTCATCCAGCAATTCCAAAAAAAGTCTGACCGGCCCTGCTCAGAGGTGGTTCGTCCAGTTAGACCACAGCCGGATCCGAACATGGTCTAACCTAGCCACTTCCTTCCTGTCACAATACAAGTTCAACACTGAAATGGCACCGGACCGCTCCAACGTATGCAGAAAAAGGGTAGCGAGTCATTCAGGGCATACGCCCAACGATGGAGGGAACTCGCAGCACAGGTCAAACCCCCGATGGTTGAAAAAGAGATGGTCGGTGCTTTCCTCAACACATTGAAAGATCCATACTACTCCCACCTTATCGGGCACACTACGTCAAGTTTCGCAGACCTGGTCATAGTAGGTGAGCGAGTGGAAGATGGAGTCAAATCAGGGCGCCTGGTTGACATACAGGCATTGCAGTCGCTGCTGGAACAGTCAGGAACGAGCACTATCCCGAGGAGGGTACAGACCAAAAGAACAGAAACCGGGCCGAAAGGAGGAGAAGTTCAGGTCATCACCTCCGCCCCGTCTAGAAATGACCATCCACAAAAGCAGAGAATATACGTACAGCCATCCACTCAGCGGCCCCTTATATTATCACCAGGACAGGTTCAGCAGACTAACCAACCTGGGATTCAGATTCCTCAACCACAAGCACCAACAGGAGAAGGCACGAGACCTAATCCATCACCTCCCAAAAAGGAACAAAGAAAGTTTGATCCAGATTACTATCACATGGGAAGTCCAGGTCATACGACTGACAGATGTTTCGCTTTAAGACACAAGATCCAAGATCTCCGAGAACAACACCTGCTACGCTTTGAACTTGAGAATTGAAAACAGAGAATGATCTCCCTGAAATCAACATGGTTCGCTCGGCAGGCCCCTCAGAATCGAAACCATCTCAGCCCACTGGCACAACACAACATCAGCCAGCATTCACACTTACTGCTCTTGCCCCTCAAATCAAGAATGGAACACTTCGGCCCGCTGCAGCCTCTGAATTCCCCATCATCGCCTACTCTTTGGATGGATCACCCATCTATCAAGGGAAGACTGAATCAGGCCACATATGGTGGGACATCTGCGACTGTGATGATTGTTTCCAAAATGCACAAGAAACTGATCTCGAGCTCGAAGCCGAGAGAGAACGGAAGCCTAAGCCGAGAAAGAATAAAACTTATCAGCAAAAATGACGGGAACGATATGAAGCAGGAGATCCTGAGGTAGACCTTCTCGGAGACCCATCAGGAAAGTTTGATTATCTTGTCCTTTACCCGAGAAGAAACATGGCGGCTCTAGCTCCACCTCCAATGATACCTCATCCACAGTGGTCCACTGACCCTCCCACTGGGCCGGGCCCCATGATGCGTCTACTCACAGAAGTGACCACAGCTGTCAACTCTATACCTTGCGAGTCAGTGGAAGAATCACCTCCAGAAGACCCTGACCAAAGCTATCGCATGATCGAAATGCAAGAGTATATCGAGCGGCAATGCATGAAGCAGAGAAGGGAAGACTTTCGGGATTTAATCATTTCACATGAGCGCAAAGCTGATGAAGCGGCATCCTCTGGTAACAGAGCCCGAAGTAGGAAAGTTCGATCCATCCCAACTCATTACACCTCCGCGAACTCGTGTTCAGCTAAAGATTAAGGAGGAAGAAGGTTTGCCTGAAATCTCCATGATAACCTCAGCAAAGCCGAAGGCAACAAAACCATGGAATGGGTTCCAGTGGACAACATTGTTAAACATGGCCCTTCAACTCCTCACCCGCTGAAAACTAACACTTGAGACAGATATGGCGTAGACACGGCTAGAGATCGATTGAGGACCTCCACCAGCCTAGCTAATAGATAACTTCTCTCTTCCCGTTATCACCCTTACTTGAGTGAGGAACCCTTGCGAATAAGGGGTCCGAACGGTACCTCATTCTCTTATAAGAACCCTTCTTCCTTCACTTCACTGAAAGCCTAATAAGGGGGCGGATAAGACTGAAAGAAGGGTTACATCCGGGAGTGATCTACGAGAGTTCGCACATAGCCTTATTAATATTCCTATCCCGGTGCTCAATAAGGTCCGGGGCATAAGCTGCTTCCAGAGCAGAGGTTGCGAAGCTAACAAGCCTACAAGCCAAAGCAGGGGCAGTGTGTCGAGATAAAAGCAATAAAGAGCTGAGGAACGAAGAACCGCGGGTGGAAGCACTAGGAGAAAGCTAAATAGTTCAGCGCGCAATACAATAAGGCTTATGTTACACAGATGGGGATCCCAAGGAGAGGGCTTTACTAATAATAGTAAAGGTAGGGGACCGAGAATACAACAATCAGGGTTGTCGTAGAGTAGATCAGGCTCTCATCAGACCTAAGATGCTGCTCTTACCCTTAGTGGTTCTCAACTAGAAGGAAAATTAGTTGATCTGGAGTTGTCGTAGATAAGGGGGTCAGGAATCAATGATTCTTGCTTCTGACTTTCCACGATTGAAGTGGAAAGGGGGCCGCCGATGCACGTCCGAACCAGCGACAAAGACAAATCTGCAGTTCTAAATAGGAAAGAAAGGAATCCGGTCTCCCCCCTGAGGGTAAGAAAGAAGGTCCCGATTGTAGGGTCTGTAAGATGGTATGGTTGCAAGCTAGCAAGACAATAAGAGAGAGTTCCCCCTATCAAGGAAGATGGGTTTTTTCTCTGGTGCTTTGCACTCTCCTTAATGTACTTACAGCTCAACGTTGTGTTGTCTTCCCGGTAAGTAGGACCAAGGAAGCCTATCTCCCCTTTCTCATAATAGTGGTGAATCTCAATCATAGAAACAAAATGACCAGGTTCCGTTTCTGTTTCTATGCCTATTTCTCTGTACAGAAAAGATGAGTTTAGTTACCTTGATGATACCACTTCCAACTCCAAATCCAAATCCAAAACATCTCAATACTGGTACAAGTGGAAAGTTTAGACCCTCAAGAAAGTGATTTTATGATATGAGCAAGCCAGAAAGGGGAAGTGTAACCATAACCTCTTTTGAAGGCAAAGCAAGTAAAGCCAGCAAGTTCTGACTTCCCTTTTTTTTAGATCCCTTGGATGTGGCTAATTTGTCTAGTCCCATCGAAACAGTTGAATTTAAGTCCTTCCTTATCGATGGGATATTACCTCCTGTATTAGCATATTCCATTCTAGCATATCTTATTTCCAGTAGTACATAAAACCCCTGAGTCTGTGGAAGCCAGTGAGGCTAGTGAAGAGGGGTATCCAGTTACAATTACAGTTTTAGTTGCTTCTCTCTTCCCTAGAGTTTTACAAAAAAGCCCAACAACGGGCAAGAGACTAAGTGTACCAAAACCTATTAGCAATGAGATTTGATAAAAGTCTTCCATTTTGTTTTCGGAAAAAAAGAGATTCCTATTCTGCATCTCACTAGCCTTATTACCAAAACAGGTAAGCTAGCAGGGGAGCCCGCATATATATATGTTTTGAAGGTGCAGAAATTTATTGGTGGGTCTCCGAGGCGGAAGGAAGACCCGCAGTATAAGTAGGGAGGGGTTTACCCTCCACAAAATAAGGGATTACTCAAAACCCCTTTTTTTTTATTTTTCATATTAAAGCGCTTTCTTTTAAAAATGCATCTGGTTCCATCTTTCTTTCGTTAGTTAACCCACCTTTTTCTAAAAGGGATTGTAGTAATTCTGGTTTTACACTATTTGGAATGGCTCTCTCATATTGAGAGATTCTGTCTAGTGGCATTCGATCACAGAATCCATTGACAGCCGCATAAATGACTAGAATTTGTTTTTCAATTGGAAGTGGTGCATATTGTGGTTGTTTCGGTACTTCTGTAAGCCTTGCACCTCTATTGAGTAATGCCTGAGTCGCAGCATCAAGGTCTGACCCAAATTGAGCAAGGGCGGCCACTTCGCGATATTGTGCCAATTCCAGTTTTGAACTACCGCAGACTTGTTTCATAATTTTCAACTGAGCGGCAGACCCAACGCGACTGACAGATAAGCCGACGTTAATAGCGGTATCACTACCAAAGACAACAATCCCTACATTCTCATTCTCAAGATTCAACGCTATTCTTTTCACACCTTGGGCGGCTTAAGCCCGGTGCTTAACTTTACGCCCTCTCTCCACCCGTATGTGAGATCGATCGGCAGACCCAGACTTTGGTTCCACTCGATGATCTCACACAAGACAGAATGGTGGAGAAAAAGGCTTTTAAACAAATAAATAAACAATAGAAGTACAACTAGGACAAATACACCCATAATAATGGCAAATCGTTTCTCGAATAAGAACAAAAGACGTTCTACGGGTACGCTCACGTTAGGGGCAGCCTTCTCACCCAGCAGCGGCGAGGACTTCTCCCCCTTTTGAGAGGTACCACATAAAACCCGAAAATTCCAATACGAAGAAAATTTGCCAATATCCCCGTAGGGGGATATTAGCAAACTTCTCGCCTTTTTTAGGGCTCGGGACATCATGACCCATTCATATTCACTCGTAGTTCTGCTTCTTGCTCTAACAGAAAGACTTGTAGGAAATCTGGTTGGTCCAACCAAGAAAAACATGGGGGTTTTTGGGCATCTCACAGGAAATGGAACTTCTTTTCTTTACGTAATTTCAGCCTTCATCGAAAATCCTAATTTTCTGCTTTTTGCTCGTGCTTTAGCTTTTTTATCTCATCCGTATTCCGGTTCAAATGTGTTAAGTTTAAGTCAGGTAAGCGGGTGGAGAATAGCGAGGGAGAGGGCAGCGCCCCTTGCTGGATAGAATATCGAGAAGCACATGGGATTGGGGTGCTCTCTAAGTGAGGAGCCATGGAACTCTAGCTTAGATAGAAAGGGTTTTTAGGCCGGACAAAGGTCTAGGTTAAGTCCGGGAGAGAGGGCTTGATGAACACCACCTCCTGGTTAGTGATTGGGCACACGCTTCCTTTACGGCGTAGAATCGGCTTCTTTTTTTGACGTATCAGAAAGGGCTTCTCTTCTACGCCCGAAGTTTATATTTATGCAAGTATCTTCACTTCAATACCCAAAGTGGCCCTATACATTTAATGATAACCGAACCCAAGCAAGGAGCTTCAATCTTTTCTATTTCCGGTCGGGTTGGAAAGTCTTTATTTTATGTGCCAACGCAGGCCTATCACCAAATCTCCACGGCGAAATCCTTTGTTGGAAGGCTTGCTGATTCATGATTTACACCTCTCTCCGCCGCTTCTTAACAGTTGACTGCGAGATTAGCACTTTCTTCGTTACTAACAGATATATCTTTTCCGCGCGAGCTAGTTCAACAGTTCATTCTTGTAAGCCCCTTTGTCAGCCACACTAAGACTTCGGGTCATCATGCACTGACACAATCATTATCTGAGGGCCTATGATCATCCAAAAGCAGTACCTGGCATACTCCTAATAATCAAAAGAAAAAGCCGGATTCGACTTCTTGTGTACAAGCAGAGCATCAACAATCCTTTTCGTTACCAATTACAAATGGTATAAACTAATCGGGATGCTTCTACACGTCCATTCTTCTAGGAGAGTCATACCCGTCTTTTTGCCTGACCCGGCCTTCCAATCTTTTCAATCGGTCTAGTCCACGCGTGGACAGAGGAATTTGCTTCCTCTAGCCCATTACCTGAAAAGGCGACTACCTTACCTATCAATCGTATTGGCCCAATTCCAGATCAATAGAATAGAAGGTATCATATTCACTAAATTCCTAAGGGAATCCCCCGCTTGACTAATAGCCTCTGCCTATTGTCTTATTTTCTACTGATTGCTTGTATCAAGCAGGACGTCCACATGAGAGTTGTACCAAGCAAGTGTTCTCCCTTCACTATCGGACCTGCTTCTTACTTATTTGTTAGCGCCTACGGGCGGAATCAAAGAAAAAATGAATACATTGGGCTTTCGCCACCTGAAAATGCCCGACGGTCATTCAAGATTATCTGCATTTTAGTAAGTGTATGCAAGAGACGCAGTCTTAGTATTAGGAATAGCGAGTTCTCCCTCGTATCCGCAGAAGTTAATGCAACTGAACCCTTCGCTACTCCTTTTTGTGTGACTGACCAACCCGAATTTCATATTGAAAAAGGAGGAGGCACATCAAGGCAGAAGTCGAATCAAGCAAAGATCCTCTGACATTAGCTAGTAGCTGCTTTCCTGGGACTTGCACTTGCTTCTTTTAGAGAAGGCTTGGCTCTATTTATGCTATTTCCATCCACTTGACTGTTCTTCGCGAGTATCTTTCGTCTCTTCCTGGGAATCCAATGGTTACGCTGGAAGAAGGACTAACAGTTATAACCGAGAAAGTGCTTATGTCGACACTAGCAAGTGACTCACCAACTCGGAAGTAAGAAAGAGGAAAGACAGGGGTATGACAACCAATCTACCCGCCTATTAGCTATTCTAGCCAAGGCCAATTTCATGTGTTAAGCATATAGACATCAGATCGTTTTTGGAAGAGTGCCCGAGGACGAATAGAACTTAGATTCAAAAGAGCGCGAAGAAAGAGCTTTCGCAAATGATTGCACTTCTGCTATCCGGATAGCTATTCAAAGCATCGAGAAAAACAAAGATAATGTTAACAGTTTCATAAAAGCAAGGGGATTCGCTAAGCAGCTAAGCAAAAATCCTTTACCCTGAAATCGTAGATCTACGAAATGAGCGTAGTGTTGAACTCTTTCGCACCCCTTCCGAAATCAATCAAGGATTGCCATCGAAAGCTGTCGTTACGCCGAATTCTTCAATAAAAGTAGCCGTCGTAAGGCCGGGGCGTTGCGTATCCGGAAGAGTCAGACTTCGTTTCAAGCAGCAATCTTTGAAAGGAAAGATACTTGTTGTCGATTCAATGTGGGATAGTCCCTACAGGATAGGAGTTAACCCATGTCCACAGTTTTGATTACAGGTCTAGTTCAGTTCAACTCATAGCCCCCAATCCCACTGGTGACGATATTGTCATTGGGGATCAGAAAGTTGCTCTGCCTTACAAAGAGTGGTTAGCTGATCTGGGAGTCAGTGTCTCGATGCCGAAGTCACTGGTCAATGAGTAGGCAAAATCATCTGGGGAAGGAAGCGAGGTGGAGTGAAGCACGGTCGGCAACAGCTAATTGGCTCAGGCGATTCTTGTTGTCGGGCGTAGGGTAGGACCCTCTTTCGAGTTTCAGAGGTGAATCCTCATATGATATGAAGGACTCCCATCCCCGGGAAAGTCCCCAACAGCAACTGGATCAATCTTTGTTGGCTGGCTTGCTTTGTCCGCTATCCTTCATCCCATCCGTCTTGTCCAGGCTGGTAAGGAGAGAAAGGGGTGCCCGGGGGAGATGAAGTAGAATCAATTGAAGTGGATGTTTCAGGAGTTCATTCAAGCGTAGGGGTAGGGCTTCATTCAAGCGTACGGACTTTATTCGACTTTAGTTTAGTGAGTGGATTCTGTTGTGGATGAATGCGCTTAAGCAATAATAGTGGTAGGACTTAGCCGCGCTCTGTTCTTGATCGGTCGAATCGATCGCCATGTTTCTGAGATTCTTCTAAATGCCCTTTCTCTTTCGTTAATGGTTACGATGTCAATCGGGTACCCCATTCATCTATCTTCTTTGAAATGGAATTTCCCGTTCTCCTGCTTCAGTTACAGCTTCTCCCGCTCCTGGAATTCCTTAAAGTTTATTAATGCGATTTACTTGCCCTCTTATAAATCATAAATTGTCGGATATTTTTGCTTGTAATGCTCTGTGGTGGAACAAAGGAGTGCGCGAAGGTACAATCCTAAAAAGTGAGATTGGTTATAGGGATATCTTTTCCTCTGTTTTGCATATCAACGACAGCTCTGACCTTCCTGATCCTGTAACTGGTTTCTCCCCTGGTCTATGATTGCTCTCCTTAAGACCCGACCGGAAGGTTCGTTCGAGAGGCCCGGTACGGTCCGCTTGGGGCCCTTCCGCAATAAATAGCAGATATAAGAAAGAGAGAGTGGCAGACTGAAGGAACTGTTAGAGTGAGCCTGAAAGAAGGTAGAGGATAATCTCCCAACTTCAAGCCAGGAAGCATTTTAGCAAAAACATTCCCCTCATTCAAAGAAAAGAAAGATGAAAGTTGAATAATAGCTGCCGGCTCCCTTTAACACCAACGGTAGATAGGAACCGAATTCAAAGGCTTGCATGTTAAAGATAGAACCAACGGTGGCAGAAGAGATTTGTGCAGGAGCTGGCGGAGAGCGGAAGATTCGAATCTCGATCCGGGGAGACGTTTCAACGTTAGCTCCTGTAAGCCTGAGCAAACAAAGGTTGTAGTAGGGGCTTCCGCGACACTTTGATTAGTTCAATTAACCCAGCCTCAAGGACAGAAAGGGAGGGTAGGGTTTTTCCTTGATGAACCGAAGGAGGCCTAAGCATTTTGAAAACCCATATCATTCATTGGTAAGCGTAATTGGTTGGCCCTGCCAACTATATGCAGGTCTCTCGAGCCTTCCCTATTTCTCGATCGGTTCAATGCTTCATATTTATTCCACTCAAAGCCTGAGCGTGGCTAGGGTTCTCCCCCACTTCATTAATATAGTATAGCGAGGTGTGGTATAAAGAATACTGATCGTCCAGTAATGGGTAGCGACAACTGAAAAATTAATAGCAAAGGAATCTCAAGCCAAGGAATCGAATTTCTGACAAGGAATCTCAAGCCGCAGGGAATCTCAGGCGAAGGAATCGAATTTCAGCGAAGGAATCTCAAGCTAATTTCAGTGAAATCCCATGTTTTACTTCAAACTGAAAAAAAAGGAAAGACATGAATCACAAAAACTGGCTTACTCGATCATTGGATGATATGCCTAGAAAAGAGGAAGACAAAAAGGAACTAATAAGGTTTTGGAATGAGTTTTACACTTATTTATTGCAAAATACTAACAAGAGTGGACAACATGGTAAGAGTCACTCAGTTCAGTATAAGGAAACCGCCTTCGATATTTTGGAAGAAGCAAAAACAAGATTACCATTAAGTGTAGATGAATTAAGTGAGATCCAAAAGCAAATTGAGGAGATTACTATATGGTTCGATGAGAAATCTATTTTTAGGTCAGCTTCCGACATAATCAAAATCTTAATCAGGGAAAATGAGGAAAGTGCTAAGGATTTTCTCAGGAGAAGGCCATTCGAAAAGGATGATCTTGAATTGCTTTCAGAGTTCGGTCAATATACGATTGAGGCATTAATAGTTCATGTACTAAGTATGTTTTTTTACTCAGTTGAATCTAACTCACTAATTCGTGTTGCTTCTTTGGTTGAACAACTAGAGTCTAGTGTCCGTCACCAAGCTTCATTATTGAAAAGCGGCAGGTGTAATAAACCGTTTTCTAGTGCCACGAATGATTTCAAAGTGAAGAAGTCTGGTAAGGATAGGAAAAGATCCAAATTGGTGATGATGTATCCCTTCGGTTCCGGCTTAGTTCAATTCATGGAGGAAAGGAAATTGATCAGTTTAGTGACTGATTTGAGCGGTACTGTTCGAGTGAAGAAGAAGAAAGGATCTTATTTTCTTCCAAGCCATCTCTACGCAGTCTGCAACTTTGATATTTCATTACTACCGATCAAGCTCAACCTGCCTATGGTATGCAAACCTCGAGATTGGACGAGTGCCTGCCGGGGTGATCAAAATCCTAGATACCTGTCCGATCTATCAGGGGGTTACTTAAGTGGGCCAACAGGTGGCCTATATGATCGTTACCGCCTCTTAAGTTCAGGTGACATTAATCATTTTTATATTGATATTGGAAGAGAAAAGAATTACGAGAAACTGTGTCTTGTAATGAACAAGCTGCAGGGTCAGGCCTTTCAAATCAACAGTCATTGGTTGAAATGTCTTAAATATAATGAGGACTCATTTGTTGAATCTGGTTTACTCATGCCAAGATTTCTATCCTCTATGAATATCAAAGATGTATCCAACTTACTTAGAGAGTTTCACATGAAGGATGAGGTTATTAATAAATTATGTAACTTTAGCGAATTGTTACATACTTTATCTAAGAACATACAGCGTTCTCGTTATGAGAATTTGATTATGAAGCTGGCACAAGCCTACGAAGGTTATCATTTTTATTTGCCAGCCTTTCTCGACTTCCGAGGTCGAATCTACCGCAGTGGTGTCTTGCATTTCCACGAGCGTGATCTAGCAAGAAGCATGATCGTCTTTGCGGATATCAAATCTAGTGGCAATATTGACATGAATGCATATCTCGCCGCAGCAGCCTTCCATTACAAGTCTTTCGTCTCTGTCGACGAGGCATTATACTTTTCTAATAACAACTTCTTGCAGCTCAGTCATGATGATGATCTTCTCATGTACGCTCGGGAGGCTAAACGCCCCTTTCAGCTCTTCGCCCATCTAATTGGAGTTACCTCTCCAAATTTGAAGGTTATTACGCGCATCCCTTTAACCCAAGACGCCTCAGCGAGTGCATATCAGATTATGAGTTACTTTTTGTTGGATGAAAGCCTGGCTTCGAGAACGAATCTCATCCCATCTTTGGATGGAAAATCCAAGATGTTTATTCATTCATCCTCGAAGATCTCAAGGTGTTCATGAAAGCAGAACTGGATAATAATCATCTATCAACGATAGTTTGCAATGTGCTCACTCGTAAGCTAGTCAAAGGTATCTTTATGCCTATGATCTATGGCAAAACTTTAATGAGCACGGCCAGCGATCTAAAAGACACTCTCTCTCGCTTCATCACTCATAAGGAATGCTTCGATGTTGCCTCTGTCTGCTTTAAGTTCTGGAGGACGCAATATCAGAACACGGAATGCCTGATCCGGTTGATCCGCCATATAGGCTGGATCGCGTCTGCTAGGGATAGCCCAGTTTTCTATAGAGTCCCTTCCTTTACCACGGTACAGGATTATATGAAAATGGATCCCATAAATGTATGGTTTTATGATGGACTTCATAAGAAGAGGCGTCGGGTGACTCTCAGAGTTTCTTCTTCTAAGAGAGATCGTAGGAAGACTGAAATCTCTACCTTCGTAAACTTCATCCATCAGAGGGATGCCCATATTGCAATGAAAGTAGTAGAATGTATGCTTGAAAAGGGTGCGCCTATATACACAGTACACGACAACTTTATAACTACAGCTGAATATAGCTATTTTCTACCAATAATTATATCAAGGTCATTTGTGAGATGGGCCCTCCACTTTCAATCCTCAACGAGTTCATCTATATGAATATTATGAAACCTATTGTCAAAGTGGAGTCAGCTGGACCTCATGAGGGTTACTTTGCCGATAAGGTAATCTCAAAAGAGATTCTTCATTATTACTTAAAGGCTAATGTACCTGAGAACATAAGCAAGAAGATGATGGCAACTTGGGAAGAAAGGATCTCGGGAATACTGACCTCTTACGAGAACTATACTCGTTATGTATGCGGTGATTTTCAATCCCCTAACCCTAGGGATTGTTTTCGAGCTCATGAGGAAAAGTGGGATAAATTCAAGTCAAAGCTAATAAGCGGGGAGGGAAATTACTACTGCGTACACTATTAAGTATGAATCATAAGATGATGGCATACACCACAGACAGCTCAACTACTGGACAGTTATTGAATCGCTTGTATAAAAAGATTGAACGAACAACACACCAAGATCCGCATCTTGGGTTAATCATTGCTTCACATCACTTCATCGAGCCTCCCCCTCTTGTTAACGAGATTGACCTACTCTGTCTTGCGACCATGTCTCTCTTAATCCAGTTTGCTTACCCATCCTTATCTGGTTACGGTAAGTTCACAATTTCCTTTACCATGAAGCGATCTTACGGAGAGGAGATCTCATTTACGCTAGGTCCTGCTATCCCCTTGACTGATCCCGATGGTAAGTTAATTCCAATGAGTGAGGTCTATGCTCATATATCTCGATCAATTATGAAATATGCAGAAATCTACAACGGAGATTATATAGTTCGACTCATGATCCGAGTCTATATGGACGGCAAAAAGATGGATAGGCCAGCCCTATCTTCAGAGGAGAGAGATAGCTCACTTTCTTCAATCATTCAAGCCGGATTGAGTGAGATCGAGCCAATAACAGCAAGAGAGATCCGAAATCGTAATCGTAGCTATCCAACCCATATCACAGCACTCAAACCATGTCGCACTGAGCTGAAACCATTCATTGTAGCCGATACGGAGACTCTACTGATCGATAATGTTCATAAGCCTTATGCTGCAGGTCTCTTGATGGTTCGTCCCGGTGAACAGATCTATGATATTCTGATTGATAGCTACTTCAGTGAAGACTACTCTATAATCTTGGATTCCTTTGAAGAAAGGAGTACTAAGGTACTTTATGACTTGGTATTAAGGATATCAACGATTGTTAGACAAGAACAATCCCCTTTAACAATTTACTTCCACAACTTCTCTAGATTCGATGGAATTCTCTTGCTTAAGCACCTAGCATGTCATCACAAGAGCTACAAGCTAAAACCACTGATGAGGAACCATAGGCTATACGAGTTAGCTGTCTATTCTGGTACGAAGATGTTATTCCGCTTCAGAGACTCCTTGAATCTACTCCCTGGCAAACTTGCCTCCCTAGCTAAGAATCTATGCCCGGGTCTTGGCCCGAAAGGCTCTATCGCATATGATGAGGTGACACTGTCAAATCTGGCAAGTATGAAAAAGAACTTGTTAGACTATATGAAGCAGGACATCCTTCTCCTTGGAGGTGTAATGCAAAAAGCTCAAGAGATATATTGGGAAGCTGTACAAGGTGGACATAGAAAGCAAGATAACCCTTTCCTCACTTGCTCTTAGCATCTTTCGTATGAAATACTACGATGCTTCTAATTGGCCAATCCACATCCCAAACAAGAATGAAGACAGCTTTATAAGGCGTGCCTACTACGGTGGTCATACAGATGTATACAAGCCATATGGCGAGGACCTATACTACTACGATGTGAACTCTCTCTATCCCTTTGTAATGAAGGAATTTCCAATGCCTGGTGGTGTGCCAGTCTGGCATGGAAATCTGGAAGGCAAGGACTTAGATAGCATGTTTGGCTTTATTGAGGCATATGTGGTATGTCCGAAGACTATCAAGAAGCCCTTTCTACCCTATCGAGACAACAAGAAGAACACTCTCATCTTTCCAACCGGGGAATTTGTTGGAGTGTACTATTGCGAGGAGTTAAAGTATGCAAGAGGCCTAGGCTACACTGTAATCCCAATCTCAGGCTACCTCTTTGAGAGGATGGGAAAGCCCATTCAGGGACTTTGTTAGCTCACTCTTTGAGAGCAGGTTAGAGGCAAGGATATCAGGTAATGAGGCCATGTCCTATGTGTACAAGATCCTTATGAATTCGCTATACGGTAGATTTGGCATTAACCCTAAAAGCACGACAACCGAGGTCTGCGATAAAGATCGATACAAACATTTGATCAGGCATAGTGAGTTCATCTTCGGTGATATGCTTAGCGAGAACAACTACATCGTTGCCTACCATAGCAATACCGAGAAGGGCTCAGATTATTGGAATCCACCGAAGAACTCTGCTGTCCAACTAGCTGCTGCGATCACTGCCTCTGCTAGGATCTATATGTACCCTTATATCTCAAGAGAGGACTGCTACTACACGGACACAGACTCAGTTGTGCTTGGTCAGCCACTACCTAAAGAAGTGATTTCTTCTTCTGTCTTAGGTAAGTTTAAGCTAGAGGACAGAGTCATGAAAGGATACTTTTTAGCACCGAAATCCTATTGCTACATCGCAATAGGTGGCTCCAATATACTCAAGTACAAGGGACCAGCGAAAAACCAGGTCAATCAAGAATGGTTTGAGTCACAGTACGCGGACCCATCTCGTACAAAACAGGTACCGGTGGAAGCCAACTTCCGGATTGATTGGCACACTCTTAACATCATCAAGAAAGACACAATGGTCAGGGTTGGGCTTCAGCTGGGGACCAAGAGGATACCAGTATATCACAGAGATGTCTGGGTGGATACTGATCCAATTGATATCCAAGACTTGTCTAGCCAGAAAAAAAAAAAAAAAAAAAAAAAAATAAAATCATGCTTTAATACTTTAACTACAAACTGAAAATGAAATTCTAAATGAGAAATTATCTAAGAAGGAAAGAGAGTTTGCCGGAGAGATACAAAGAGATGATATCACAGTTTGATGCTAAGAAGAATACAGATAAAAGGATGCACACTCAATACACTACAGAGAGACAGAAAAGTCTTACTGAAGAAAGAACGCTATTAGATAAAGAAGAACAAGAACAAACAGAGGTGACTAACGACGAGAAAACTAAGAAAGACCAAAAGATACCTAAGACAGACGAGAAGATACCTAAGAAAGAAGAAAAGAAACCGCCTTGAAAGACAATTGATAACTGACGAAAGAACTGATGAAGAAGCGCATCAAAGACCTCAGCCTTAGGGGGGAATAGTTGATCGAACTTCCGTGAGTTCGTTTTTGGTCATCCTGCATTTCTGCATTTCACCGACCTTCGCAGATTAGGCTAATCGTATTATGAAATGAAAGGGAGGAAAAATGGATACGCAGTATTCTATAATGAACATTGTAAGGTTAGAGTTTCTTTAGTAGGCCACAGCAGATCGAAAAGTCGCTAATTTCGCTCAGTCAAGTTCTCGTATGGGTAAAGATTGGGCCATTGGCAGTTGAGGGGCCGCCCCCCAAAACAGACGTAGGTTGCGTATGAGCCTCCAGTAGGACTCTGGCACCCGAACTGTAAGAATGGGTCCCGAACTAGAGGTGGTTTGATGGGTGCTCTTTGGGTTCTTAGATCCGGCGGCTACTTTACTCACTTAGCACCCTACGTAGGCGGGGGGAATCAACACCCCCCTCAACTGCCAATGGCCAAATCCTTACCCATACGAGAACTTGACTGAGCGAAATTAGCGACTTTTCGATCTGCTGTGGCCTACTAAAGAAACTCTAACCTTACAATGTTCATTATAGAATACTGCGTATCCATTTTTCCTCCCTTTCATTTCATAATACGATTAGCCTAATCTGCGAAGGTCGGTGAAATGCAGAAATGCAGGATGACCAAAAACGAACTCACGGAAGTTCGATCAACTATTCCCCCCTAAGGCTGAGGTCTTTGATGCGCTTCTTCATCAGTTCTTTCGTCAGTTATCAATTGTCTTTCAAGGCGGTTTCTTTTCTTCTTTCTTAGGTATCTTCTCGTCTGTCTTAGGTATCTTTTGGTCTTTCTTAGTTTTCTCGTCGTTAGTCACCTCTGTTTGTTCTTGTTCTTCTTTATCTAATAGCGTTCTTTCTTCAGTAAGACTTTTCTGTCTCTCTGTAGTGTATTGAGTGTGCATCCTTTTATCTGTATTCTTCTTAGCATCAAACTGTGATATCATCTCTTTGTATCTCTCGGCAAACTCTCTTTCCTTCTTAGATAATTTCTCATTTAGAATTTCATTTTCAGTCTGTAGTTGTATTAAAGCATTCCCTAGTGATTTTTTTTTTGTTTTCCTGGCTAGACAAGTCTTGGATATCAATTGGATCAGTATCCACCCAGACATCTCTGTGATATACTGGTATCCTCTTGGTCCCCAGCTGAAGCCCAACCCTGACCATTGTGTCTTTCTTGATGATGTTAAGAGTGTGCCAATCAATCCGGAAGTTGGCTTCCACCGGTACCTGTTTTGTACGAGATGGGTCCGCGTACTGTGACTCAAACCATTCTTGATTGACCTGGTTTTTCGCTGGTCCCTTGTACTTGAGTATATTGGAGCCACCTATTGCGATGTAGCAATAGGATTTCGGTGCTAAAAAGTATCCTTTCATGACTCTGTCCTCTAGCTTAAACTTACCTAAGACAGAAGAAGAAATCACTTCTTTAGGTAGTGGCTGACCAAGCACAACTGAGTCTGTGTCCGTGTAGTAGCAGTCCTCTCTTGAGATATAAGGGTACATATAGATCCTAGCAGAGGCAGTGATCGCAGCAGCTAGTTGGACAGCAGAGTTCTTCGGTGGATTCCAATAATCTGAGCCCTTCTCGGTATTGCTATGGTAGGCAACGATGTAGTTGTTCTCGCTAAGCATATCACCGAAGATGAACTCACTATGCCTGATCAAATGTTTGTATCGATCTTTATCGCAGACCTCGGTTGTCGTGCTTTTAGGGTTAATGCCAAATCTACCGTATAGCGAATTCATAAGGATCTTGTACACATAGGACATGGCCTCATTACCTGATATCCTTGCCTCTAACCTGCTCTCAAAGAGTGAGCTAACAAAGTCCCTGAATGGGCTTTCCATCCTCTCAAAGAGGTAGCCTGAGATTGGGATTACAGTGTAGCCTAGGCCTCTTGCATACTTTAACTCCTCGCAATAGTACACTCCAACAAATTCCCCGGTTGGAAAGATGAGAGTGTTCTTCTTGTTGTCTCGATAGGGTAGAAAGGGCTTCTTGATAGTCTTCGGACATACCACATATGCCTCAATAAAGCCAAACATGCTATCTAAGTCCTTGCCTTCCAGATTTCCATGCCAGACTGGCACACCACCAGGCATTGGAAATTCCTTCATTACAAAGGGATAGAGAGAGTTCACATCGTAGTAGTATAGGTCCTCGCCATATGGCTTGTATACATCTGTATGACCACCGTAGTAGGCACGCCTTATAAAGCTGTCTTCATTCTTGTTTGGGATGTGGATTGGCCAATTAGAAGCATCGTAGTATTTCATACGAAAGATGCTAAGAGCAAGTGAGGAAAGGGTTATCTTGCTTTCTATGTCCACCTTGTACAGCTTCCAATATATCTCTTGAGCTTTTTGCATTACACCTCCAAGGAGAAGGATGTCCTGCTTCATATAGTCTAACAAGTTCTTTTTCATACTTGCCAGATTTGACAGTGTCACCTCATCATATGCGATAGAGCCTTTCGGGCCAAGACCCGGGCATAGATTCTTAGCTAGGGAGGCAAGTTTGCCAGGGAGTAGATTCAAGGAGTCTCTGAAGCGGAATAACATCTTCGTACCAGAATAGACAGCTAACTCGTATAGCCTATGGTTCCTCATCAGTGGTTTTAGCTTGTAGCTCTTGTGATGACATGCTAGGTGCTTAAGCAAGAGAATTCCATCGAATCTAGAGAAGTTGTGGAAGTAAATTGTTAAAGGGGATTGTTCTTGTCTAACAATCGTTGATATCCTTAATACCAAGTCATAAAGTACCTTAGTACTCCTTTCTTCAAAGGAATCCAAGATTATAGAGTAGTCTTCACTGAAGTAGCTATCAATCAGAATATCATAGATCTGTTCACCGGGACGAACCATCAAGAGACCTGCAGCATAAGGCTTATGAACATTATCGATCAGTAGAGTCTCCGTATCGGCTACAATGAATGGTTTCAGCTCAGTGCGACATGGTTTGAGTGCTGTGATATGGGTTGGATAGCTACGATTACGATTTCGGATCTCTCTTGCTGTTATTGGCTCGATCTCACTCAATCCGGCTTGAATGATTGAAGAAAGTGAGCTATCTCTCTCCTCTGAAGATAGGGCTGGCCTATCCATCTTTTTGCCGTCCATATAGACTCGGATCATGAGTCGAACTATATAATCTCCGTTGTAGATTTCTGCATATTTCATAATTGATCGAGATATATGAGCATAGACCTCACTCATTGGAATTAACTTACCATCGGGATCAGTCAAGGGGATAGCAGGACCTAGCGTAAATGAGATCTCCTCTCCGTAAGATCGCTTCATGGTAAAGGAAATTGTGAACTTACCGTAACCAGATAAGGATGGGTAAGCAAACTGGATTAAGAGAGACATGGTCGCAAGACAGAGTAGGTCAATCTCGTTAACAAGAGGGGGAGGCTCGATGAAGTGATGTGAAGCAATGATTAACCCAAGATGCGGATCTTGGTGTGTTGTTCGTTCAATCTTTTTATACAAGCGATTCAATAACTGTCCAGTAGTTGAGCTGTCTGTGGTGTATGCCATCATCTTATGATTCATACTTAATAGTGTACGCAGTAGTAATTTCCCTCCCCGCTTATTAGCTTTGACTTGAATTTATCCCACTTTTCCTCATGAGCTCGAAAACAATCCCTAGGGTTAGGGGATTGAAAATCACCGCATACATAACGAGTATAGTTCTCGTAAGAGGTCAGTATTCCCGAGATCCTTTCTTCCCAAGTTGCCATCATCTTCTTGCTTATGTTCTCAGGTACATTAGCCTTTAAGTAATAATGAAGAATCTCTTTTGAGATTACCTTATCGGCAAAGTAACCCTCATGAGGTCCAGCTGACTCCACTTTGACAATAGGTTTCATAATATTCATATAGATGAACTCGTTGAGGATTGAAAGTGGAGGGCCCATCTCACAAATGACCTTGATATAAATTATTGGTAGAAAATAGCTATATTCAGCTGTAGTTATAAAGTTGTCGTGTACTGTGTATATAGGCGCACCCTTTTCAAGCATACATTCTACTACTTTCATTGCAATATGGGCATCCCTCTGATGGATGAAGTTTACGAAGGTAGAGATTTCAGTCTTCCTACGATCTCTCTTAGAAGAAGAAACTCTGAGAGTCACCCGACGCCTCTTCTTATGAAGTCCATCATAAAACCATACATTTATGGGATCCATTTTCATATAATCCTGTACCGTGGTAAAGGAAGGGACTCTATAGAAAACTGGGCTATCCCTAGCAGACGCGATCCAGCCTATATGGCGGATCAACCGGATCAGGCATTCCGTGTTCTGATATTGCGTCCTCCAGAACTTAAAGCAGACAGAGGCAACATCGAAGCATTCCTTATGAGTGATGAAGCGAGAGAGAGTGTCTTTTAGATCGCTGGCCGTGCTCATTAAAGTTTTGCCATAGATCATAGGCATAAAGATACCTTTGACTAGCTTACGAGTGAGCACATTGCAAACTATCGTTGATAGATGATTATTATCCAGTTCTGCTTTCATGAACACCTTGAGATCTTCGAGGATGAATGAATAAACATCTTGGATTTTTCCATCCAAAGATGGGATGAGATTCGTTCTCGAAGCCAGGCTTTCATCCAACAAAAAGTAACTCATAATCTGATATGCACTCGCTGAGGCGTCTTGGGTTAAAGGGATGCGCGTAATAACCTTCAAATTTGGAGAGGTAACTCCAATTAGATGGGCGAAGAGCTGAAAGGGGCGTTTAGCCTCCCGAGCGTACATGAGAAGATCATCATCATGACTGAGCTGCAAGAAGTTGTTATTAGAAAAGTATAATGCCTCGTCGACAGAGACGAAAGACTTGTAATGGAAGGCTGCTGCGGCGAGATATGCATTCATGTCAATATTGCCACTAGATTTGATATCCGCAAAGACGATCATGCTTCTTGCTAGATCACGCTCGTGGAAATGCAAGACACCACTGCGGTAGATTCGACCTCGGAAGTCGAGAAAGGCTGGCAAATAAAAATGATAACCTTCGTAGGCTTGTGCCAGCTTCATAATCAAATTCTCATAACGAGAACGCTGTATGTTCTTAGATAAAGTATGTAACAATTCGCTAAAGTTACATAATTTATTAATAACCTCATCCTTCATGTGAAACTCTCTAAGTAAGTTGGATACATCTTTGATATTCATAGAGGATAGAAATCTTGGCATGAGTAAACCAGATTCAACAAATGAGTCCTCATTATATTTAAGACATTTCAACCAATGACTGTTGATTTGAAAGGCCTGACCCTGCAGCTTGTTCATTACAAGACACAGTTTCTCGTAATTCTTTTCTCTTCCAATATCAATATAAAAATGATTAATGTCACCTGAACTTAAGAGGCGGTAACGATCATATAGGCCACCTGTTGGCCCACTTAAGTAACCCCCTGATAGATCGGACAGGTATCTAGGATTTTGATCACCCCGGCAGGCACTCGTCCAATCTCGAGGTTTGCATACCATAGGCAGGTTGAGCTTGATCGGTAGTAATGAAATATCAAAGTTGCAGACTGCGTAGAGATGGCTTGGAAGAAAATAAGATCCTTTCTTCTTCTTCACTCGAACAGTACCGCTCAAATCAGTCACTAAACTGATCAATTTCCTTTCCTCCATGAATTGAACTAAGCCGGAACCGAAGGGATACATCATCACCAATTTGGATCTTTTCCTATCCTTACCAGACTTCTTCACTTTGAAATCATTCGTGGCACTAGAAAACGGTTTATTACACCTGCCGCTTTTCAATAATGAAGCTTGGTGACGGACACTAGACTCTAGTTGTTCAACCAAAGAAGCAACACGAATTAGTGAGTTAGATTCAACTGAGTAAAAAAACATACTTAGTACATGAACTATTAATGCCTCAATCGTATATTGACCGAACTCTGAAAGCAATTCAAGATCATCCTTTTCGAATGGCCTTCTCCTGAGAAAATCCTTAGCACTTTCCTCATTTTCCCTGATTAAGATTTTGATTATGTCGGAAGCTGACCTAAAAATAGATTTCTCATCGAACCATATAGTAATCTCCTCAATTTGCTTTTGGATCTCACTTAATTCATCTACACTTAATGGTAATCTTGTTTTTGCTTCTTCCAAAATATCGAAGGCGGTTTCCTTATACTGAACTGAGTGACTCTTACCATGTTGTCCACTCTTGTTAGTATTTTGCAATAAATAAGTGTAAAACTCATTCCAAAACCTTATTAGTTCCTTTTTGTCTTCCTCTTTTCTAGGCATATCATCCAATGATCGAGTAAGCCAGTTTTTGTGATTCATGTCTTTCCTTTTTTTTCAGTTTGAAGTAAAACATGGGATTTCACTGAAATTAGCTTGAGATTCCTTCGCTGAAATTCGATTCCTTCGCCTGAGATTCCCTGCGGCTTGAGATTCCTTGTCAGAAATTCGATTCCTTGGCTTGAGATTCCTTTGCTATTAATTTTTCAGTTGTCGCTACCCATTACTGGACGATCAGTATTCTTTATACCACACCTCGCTATACTATATTAATGAAGTGGGGGAGAACCCTAGCCACGCTCAGGCTTTGAGTGGAATAAATATGAAGCATTGAACCGATCGAGAAATAGGGAAGGCTCGAGAGACCTGCATATAGTTGGCAGGGCCAACCAATTACGCTTACCAATGAATGATATGGGTTTTCAAAATGCTTAGGCCTCCTTCGGTTCATCAAGGAAAAACCCTACCCTCCCTTTCTGTCCTTGAGGCTGGGTTAATTGAACTAATCAAAGTGTCGCGGAAGCCCCTACTACAACCTTTGTTTGCTCAGGCTTACAGGAGCTAACGTTGAAACGTCTCCCCGGATCGAGATTCGAATCTTCCGCTCTCCGCCAGCTCCTGCACAAATCTCTTCTGCCACCGTTGGTTCTATCTTTAACATGCAAGCCTTTGAATTCGGTTCCTATCTACCGTTGGTGTTAAAGGGAGCCGGCAGCTATTATTCAACTTTCATCTTTCTTTTCTTTGAATGAGGGGAATGTTTTTGCTAAAATGCTTCCTGGCTTGAAGTTGGGAGATTATCCTCTACCTTCTTTCAGGCTCACTCTAACAGTTCCTTCAGTCTGCCACTCTCTCTTTCTTATATCTGCTATTTATTGCGGAAGGGCCCCAAGCGGACCGTACCGGGCCTCTCGAACGAACCTTCCGGTCGGGTCTTAAGGAGAGCAATCATAGACCAGGGGAGAAACCAGTTACAGGATCAGGAAGGTCAGAGCTGTCGTTGATATGCAAAACAGAGGAAAAGATATCCCTATAACCAATCTCACTTTTTAGGATTGTACCTTCGCGCACTCCTTTGTTCCACCACAGAGCATTACAAGCAAAATATCCGACAATTTATGATTTATAAGAGGGCAAGTAAATCGCATTAATAAACTTTAAGGAATTCCAGGAGCGGGAGAAGCTGTAACTGAAGCAGGAGAACGGGAAATTCCATTTCAAAGAAGATAGATGAATGGGGTACCCGATTGACATCGTAACCATTAACGAAAGAGAAAGGGCATTTAGAAGAATCTCAGAAACATGGCGATCGATTCGACCGATCAAGAACAGAGCGCGGCTAAGTCCTACCACTATTATTGCTTAAGCGCATTCATCCACAACAGAATCCACTCACTAAACTAAAGTCGAATAAAGTCCGTACGCTTGAATGAAGCCCTACCCCTACGCTTGAATGAACTCCTGAAACATCCACTTCAATTGATTCTACTTCATCTCCCCCGGGCACCCCTTTCTCTCCTTACCAGCCTGGACAAGACGGATGGGATGAAGGATAGCGGACAAAGCAAGCCAGCCAACAAAGATTGATCCAGTTGCTGTTGGGGACTTTCCCGGGGATGGGAGTCCTTCATATCATATGAGGATTCACCTCTGAAACTCGAAAGAGGGTCCTACCCTACGCCCGACAACAAGAATCGCCTGAGCCAATTAGCTGTTGCCGACCGTGCTTCACTCCACCTCGCTTCCTTCCCCAGATGATTTTGCCTACTCATTGACCAGTGACTTCGGCATCGAGACACTGACTCCCAGATCAGCTAACCACTCTTTGTAAGGCAGAGCAACTTTCTGATCCCCAATGACAATATCGTCACCAGTGGGATTGGGGGCTATGAGTTGAACTGAACTAGACCTGTAATCAAAACTGTGGACATGGGTTAACTCCTATCCTGTAGGGACTATCCCACATTGAATCGACAACAAGTATCTTTCCTTTCAAAGATTGCTGCTTGAAACGAAGTCTGACTCTTCCGGATACGCAACGCCCCGGCCTTACGACGGCTACTTTTATTGAAGAATTCGGCGTAACGACAGCTTTCGATGGCAATCCTTGATTGATTTCGGAAGGGGTGCGAAAGAGTTCAACACTACGCTCATTTCGTAGATCTACGATTTCAGGGTAAAGGATTTTTGCTTAGCTGCTTAGCGAATCCCCTTGCTTTTATGAAACTGTTAACATTATCTTTGTTTTTCTCGATGCTTTGAATAGCTATCCGGATAGCAGAAGTGCAATCATTTGCGAAAGCTCTTTCTTCGCGCTCTTTTGAATCTAAGTTCTATTCGTCCTCGGGCACTCTTCCAAAAACGATCTGATGTCTATATGCTTAACACATGAAATTGGCCTTGGCTAGAATAGCTAATAGGCGGGTAGATTGGTTGTCATACCCCTGTCTTTCCTCTTTCTTACTTCCGAGTTGGTGAGTCACTTGCTAGTGTCGACATAAGCACTTTCTCGGTTATAACTGTTAGTCCTTCTTCCAGCGTAACCATTGGATTCCCAGGAAGAGACGAAAGATACTCGCGAAGAACAGTCAAGTGGATGGAAATAGCATAAATAGAGCCAAGCCTTCTCTAAAAGAAGCAAGTGCAAGTCCCAGGAAAGCAGCTACTAGCTAATGTCAGAGGATCTTTGCTTGATTCGACTTCTGCCTTGATGTGCCTCCTCCTTTTTCAATATGAAATTCGGGTTGGTCAGTCACACAAAAAGGAGTAGCGAAGGGTTCAGTTGCATTAACTTCTGCGGATACGAGGGAGAACTCGCTATTCCTAATACTAAGACTGCGTCTCTTGCATACACTTACTAAAATGCAGATAATCTTGAATGACCGTCGGGCATTTTCAGGTGGCGAAAGCCCAATGTATTCATTTTTTCTTTGATTCCGCCCGTAGGCGCTAACAAATAAGTAAGAAGCAGGTCCGATAGTGAAGGGAGAACACTTGCTTGGTACAACTCTCATGTGGACGTCCTGCTTGATACAAGCAATCAGTAGAAAATAAGACAATAGGCAGAGGCTATTAGTCAAGCGGGGGATTCCCTTAGGAATTTAGTGAATATGATACCTTCTATTCTATTGATCTGGAATTGGGCCAATACGATTGATAGGTAAGGTAGTCGCCTTTTCAGGTAATGGGCTAGAGGAAGCAAATTCCTCTGTCCACGCGTGGACTAGACCGATTGAAAAGATTGGAAGGCCGGGTCAGGCAAAAAGACGGGTATGACTCTCCTAGAAGAATGGACGTGTAGAAGCATCCCGATTAGTTTATACCATTTGTAATTGGTAACGAAAAGGATTGTTGATGCTCTGCTTGTACACAAGAAGTCGAATCCGGCTTTTTCTTTTGATTATTAGGAGTATGCCAGGTACTGCTTTTGGATGATCATAGGCCCTCAGATAATGATTGTGTCAGTGCATGATGACCCGAAGTCTTAGTGTGGCTGACAAAGGGGCTTACAAGAATGAACTGTTGAACTAGCTCGCGCGGAAAAGATATATCTGTTAGTAACGAAGAAAGTGCTAATCTCGCAGTCAACTGTTAAGAAGCGGCGGAGAGAGGTGTAAATCATGAATCAGCAAGCCTTCCAACAAAGGATTTCGCCGTGGAGATTTGGTGATAGGCCTGCGTTGGCACATAAAATAAAGACTTTCCAACCCGACCGGAAATAGAAAAGATTGAAGCTCCTTGCTTGGGTTCGGTTATCATTAAATGTATAGGGCCACTTTGGGTATTGAAGTGAAGATACTTGCATAAATATAAACTTCGGGCGTAGAAGAGAAGCCCTTTCTGATACGTCAAAAAAAGAAGCCGATTCTACGCCGTAAAGGAAGCGTGTGCCCAATCACTAACCAGGAGGTGGTGTTCATCAAGCCCTCTCTCCCGGACTTAACCTAGACCTTTGTCCGGCCTAAAAACCCTTTCTATCTAAGCTAGAGTTCCATGGCTCCTCACTTAGAGAGCACCCCAATCCCATGTGCTTCTCGATATTCTATCCAGCAAGGGGCGCTGCCCTCTCCCTCGCTATTCTCCACCCGCTTACCTGACTTAAACTTAACACATTTGAACCGGAATACGGATGAGATAAAAAAGCTAAAGCACGAGCAAAAAGCAGAAAATTAGGATTTTCGATGAAGGCTGAAATTACGTAAAGAAAAGAAGTTCCATTTCCTGTGAGATGCCCAAAAACCCCCATGTTTTTCTTGGTTGGACCAACCAGATTTCCTACAAGTCTTTCTGTTAGAGCAAGAAGCAGAACTACGAGTGAATATGAATGGGTCATGATGTCCCGAGCCCTAAAAAAGGCGAGAAGTTTGCTAATATCCCCCTACGGGGATATTGGCAAATTTTCTTCGTATTGGAATTTTCGGGTTTTATGTGGTACCTCTCAAAAGGGGGAGAAGTCCTCGCCGCTGCTGGGTGAGAAGGCTGCCCCTAACGTGAGCGTACCCGTAGAACGTCTTTTGTTCTTATTCGAGAAACGATTTGCCATTATTATGGGTGTATTTGTCCTAGTTGTACTTCTATTGTTTATTTATTTGTTTAAAAGCCTTTTTCTCCACCATTCTGTCTTGTGTGAGATCATCGAGTGGAACCAAAGTCTGGGTCTGCCGATCGATCTCACATACGGGTGGAGAGAGGGCGTAAAGTTAAGCACCGGGCTTAAGCCGCCCAAGGTGTGAAAAGAATAGCGTTGAATCTTGAGAATGAGAATGTAGGGATTGTTGTCTTTGGTAGTGATACCGCTATTAACGTCGGCTTATCTGTCAGTCGCGTTGGGTCTGCCGCTCAGTTGAAAATTATGAAACAAGTCTGCGGTAGTTCAAAACTGGAATTGGCACAATATCGCGAAGTGGCCGCCCTTGCTCAATTTGGGTCAGACCTTGATGCTGCGACTCAGGCATTACTCAATAGAGGTGCAAGGCTTACAGAAGTACCGAAACAACCACAATATGCACCACTTCCAATTGAAAAACAAATTCTAGTCATTTATGCGGCTGTCAATGGATTCTGTGATCGAATGCCACTAGACAGAATCTCTCAATATGAGAGAGCCATTCCAAATAGTGTAAAACCAGAATTACTACAATCCCTTTTAGAAAAAGGTGGGTTAACTAACGAAAGAAAGATGGAACCAGATGCATTTTTAAAAGAAAGCGCTTTAATATGAAAAATAAAAAAAAAGGGGTTTTGAGTAATCCCTTATTTTGTGGAGGGTAAACCCCTCCCTACTTATACTGCGGGTCTTCCTTCCGCCTCGGAGACCCACCAATAAATTTCTGCACCTTCAAAACATATATATATGCGGGCTCCCCTGCTAGCTTACCTGTTTTGGTAATAAGGCTAGTGAGATGCAGAATAGGAATCTCTTTTTTTCCGAAAACAAAATGGAAGACTTTTATCAAATCTCATTGCTAATAGGTTTTGGTACACTTAGTCTCTTGCCCGTTGTTGGGCTTTTTTGTAAAACTCTAGGGAAGAGAGAAGCAACTAAAACTGTAATTGTAACTGGATACCCCTCTTCACTAGCCTCACTGGCTTCCACAGACTCAGGGGTTTTATGTACTACTGGAAATAAGATATGCTAGAATGGAATATGCTAATACAGGAGGTAATATCCCATCGATAAGGAAGGACTTAAATTCAACTGTTTCGATGGGACTAGACAAATTAGCCACATCCAAGGGATCTAAAAAAAAAGGGAAGTCAGAACTTGCTGGCTTTACTTGCTTTGCCTTCAAAAGAGGTTATGGTTACACTTCCCCTTTCTGGCTTGCTCATATCATAAAATCACTTTCTTGAGGGTCTAAACTTTCCACTTGTACCAGTATTGAGATGTTTTGGATTTGGATTTGGAGTTGGAAGTGGTATCATCAAGGTAACTAAACTCATCTTTTCTGTACAGAGAAATAGGCATAGAAACAGAAACGGAACCTGGTCATTTTGTTTCTATGATTGAGATTCACCACTATTATGAGAAAGGGGAGATAGGCTTCCTTGGTCCTACTTACCGGGAAGACAACACAACGTTGAGCTGTAAGTACATTAAGGAGAGTGCAAAGCACCAGAGAAAAAACCCATCTTCCTTGATAGGGGGAACTCTCTCTTATTGTCTTGCTAGCTTGCAACCATACCATCTTACAGACCCTACAATCGGGACCTTCTTTCTTACCCTCAGGGGGGAGACCGGATTCCTTTCTTTCCTATTTAGAACTGCAGATTTGTCTTTGTCGCTGGTTCGGACGTGCATCGGCGGCCCCCTTTCCACTTCAATCGTGGAAAGTCAGAAGCAAGAATCATTGATTCCTGACCCCCTTATCTACGACAACTCCAGATCAACTAATTTTCCTTCTAGTTGAGAACCACTAAGGGTAAGAGCAGCATCTTAGGTCTGATGAGAGCCTGATCTACTCTACGACAACCCTGATTGTTGTATTCTCGGTCCCCTACCTTTACTATTATTAGTAAAGCCCTCTCCTTGGGATCCCCATCTGTGTAACATAAGCCTTATTGTATTGCGCGCTGAACTATTTAGCTTTCTCCTAGTGCTTCCACCCGCGGTTCTTCGTTCCTCAGCTCTTTATTGCTTTTATCTCGACACACTGCCCCTGCTTTGGCTTGTAGGCTTGTTAGCTTCGCAACCTCTGCTCTGGAAGCAGCTTATGCCCCGGACCTTATTGAGCACCGGGATAGGAATATTAATAAGGCTATGTGCGAACTCTCGTAGATCACTCCCGGATGTAACCCTTCTTTCAGTCTTATCCGCCCCCTTATTAGGCTTTCAGTGAAGTGAAGGAAGAAGGGTTCTTATAAGAGAATGAGGTACCGTTCGGACCCCTTATTCGCAAGGGTTCCTCACTCAAGTAAGGGTGATAACGGGAAGAGAGAAGTTATCTATTAGCTAGGCTGGTGGAGGTCCTCAATCGATCTCTAGCCGTGTCTACGCCATATCTGTCTCAAGTGTTAGTTTTCAGCGGGTGAGGAGTTGAAGGGCCATGTTTAACAATGTTGTCCACTGGAACCCATTCCATGGTTTTGTTGCCTTCGGCTTTGCTGAGGTTATCATGGAGATTTCAGGCAAACCTTCTTCCTCCTTAATCTTTAGCTGAACACGAGTTCGCGGAGGTGTAATGAGTTGGGATGGATCGAACTTTCCTACTTCGGGCTCTGTTACCAGAGGATGCCGCTTCATCAGCTTTGCGCTCATGTGAAATGATTAAATCCCGAAAGTCTTCCCTTCTCTGCTTCATGCATTGCCGCTCGATATACTCTTGCATTTCGATCATGCGATAGCTTTGGTCAGGGTCTTCTGGAGGTGATTCTTCCACTGACTCGCAAGGTATAGAGTTGACAGCTGTGGTCACTTCTGTGAGTAGACGCATCATGGGGCCCGGCCCAGTGGGAGGGTCAGTGGACCACTGTGGATGAGGTATCATTGGAGGTGGAGCTAGAGCCGCCATGTTTCTTCTCGGGTAAAGGACAAGATAATCAAACTTTCCTGATGGGTCTCCGAGAAGGTCTACCTCAGGATCTCCTGCTTCATATCGTTCCCGTCATTTTTGCTGATAAGTTTTATTCTTTCTCGGCTTAGGCTTCCGTTCTCTCTCGGCTTCGAGCTCGAGATCAGTTTCTTGTGCATTTTGGAAACAATCATCACAGTCGCAGATGTCCCACCATATGTGGCCTGATTCAGTCTTCCCTTGATAGATGGGTGATCCATCCAAAGAGTAGGCGATGATGGGGAATTCAGAGGCTGCAGCGGGCCGAAGTGTTCCATTCTTGATTTGAGGGGCAAGAGCAGTAAGTGTGAATGCTGGCTGATGTTGTGTTGTGCCAGTGGGCTGAGATGGTTTCGATTCTGAGGGGCCTGCCGAGCGAACCATGTTGATTTCAGGGAGATCATTCTCTGTTTTCAATTCTCAAGTTCAAAGCGTAGCAGGTGTTGTTCTCGGAGATCTTGGATCTTGTGTCTTAAAGCGAAACATCTGTCAGTCGTATGACCTGGACTTCCCATGTGATAGTAATCTGGATCAAACTTTCTTTGTTCCTTTTTGGGAGGTGATGGATTAGGTCTCGTGCCTTCTCCTGTTGGTGCTTGTGGTTGAGGAATCTGAATCCCAGGTTGGTTAGTCTGCTGAACCTGTCCTGGTGATAATATAAGGGGCCGCTGAGTGGATGGCTGTACGTATATTCTCTGCTTTTGTGGATGGTCATTTCTAGACGGGGCGGAGGTGATGACCTGAACTTCTCCTCCTTTCGGCCCGGTTTCTGTTCTTTTGGTCTGTACCCTCCTCGGGATAGTGCTCGTTCCTGACTGTTCCAGCAGCGACTGCAATGCCTGTATGTCAACCAGGCGCCCTGATTTGACTCCATCTTCCACTCGCTCACCTACTATGACCAGGTCTGCGAAACTTGACGTAGTGTGCCCGATAAGGTGGGAGTAGTATGGATCTTTCAATGTGTTGAGGAAAGCACCGACCATCTCTTTTTCAACCATCGGGGGTTTGACCTGTGCTGCGAGTTCCCTCCATCGTTGGGCGTATGCCCTGAATGACTCGCTACCCTTTTTCTGCATACGTTGGAGCGGTCCGGTGCCATTTCAGTGTTGAACTTGTATTGTGACAGGAAGGAAGTGGCTAGGTTAGACCATGTTCGGATCCGGCTGTGGTCTAACTGGACGAACCACCTCTGAGCAGGGCCGGTCAGACTTTTTTTGGAATTGCTGGATGAGTAGTCTTTCATTATCGCCGTATAAACACATTTCTCCACAATAGACTTTCAAATGGGTAAAAGGACAGCCTGTTCCATCATATTTGTCTAAGTCTGGAGTTTTGAACTTGTGGGGGAGTTTCATATCCGGGAAAAGCATAGGTCAGAGAAACTGGTACTGCCATAAGAGTCGATCCCCTGTAGGCTTTTGACCTTTTCTTCTAAGCTCTCTAGCTGATTGGCTACCTTCTTTTCTTCGGCTTTTTTCTTCAACTTGTCATCCTGATTACCCTCTTGGGACTCTGGGATGGTGATGTAAACTGCATTCTGAGTGGTGACGGGAGGATTGCTGGTGACCTGAGAGGATCCTGGTCCTATTTTGAATCTCTCTATTGGAACTTATACAAATATGGATACTGGGTCTATTGAAAATATAAAAGATACTGCTATTCCCACAACTGCCACTCCTCTAACTGGATCGCTGGGAACTGGCATTAGAACTCCATGGGCTTATGTGCCTTAAAATAGGACTCGAAATGCATCTGAATCTACCCGCATATGTGTATCGGGCATATGAGTGAGAGGGGCAAGGGGAAAGAGTGGGTGGCCCCTTACGCGCTTTTTTAGGAGGAGTCCCGTGTAGTTGGATGGAAGGGAAGGGACTGTCTTGTATCCGCTCTAATCCTTGACGCTCTTAATGTCCAGATAAAGGTTTCCGAGCTACTAAGAACCTAACAGAACTTTTAAAAAGAGAGTTTCTTTTTCACACAATTGTTTTTCGGTGGAGGGTGAAGACCTTATTGACCGATCGACTGAAAGAAGAGGAATTGAAATAGGTTCGACCAGCGATAAAAGAAAGAAGAGTACTATGTCAGCGGAACAAAAACGGATTCGATCTACTTTCTATACTATACGAAATTTTTTCTTGTTCAGCAACAGAATCAGTAAGACAATCGGTCTTCCCTCTCCTGTCTTTGAGGAATTCCACGTGCAAGAGGGTCTACTCTCATTGTTGAGGTACCCCCGTTCACTCCGAGGCCATTCAACGGCCATTCCACGAGGTAAGCCCGCTAACCCCGAAAGTCATTGTCTCCTGGTTCGTTCTTCCTGTGGATTCCCTACCAATCTAAGTAAATAAGGGTTCTCGAACCCCGTCTCTCCCGCCATTGAGGTAAGCGCGGCTATCCCGATCTGGCTAACCATTCAAAGATTTCCCTCGGGGAATTTTTGGCAGGCGCTCTCCGAGCCCTGTGCTTTCCTGTATGTGAGGAAGGGGAGTTATTCTGTTTATGGAAATAAGAAATGCATACACGAAGCAGAAAGTCAGAGATGAACCGGAACTAATAGATGCAGGTTGCGAAGCAATTGCCACAGACTCTCATTCGTTCCACTAGGAAGAAGACTTGCTCCTTCTGAGCCAGGATCAAACTCCTCTATGCGTTTTCCTTCTCCCTATCTTTTCTTTACGCATAGCCTGACCTTAGAGACTGACTCCCCGATGCCATAAATCGACTTAGCTGACTGAGCTCCTCCGCTCCAACTCGACTAGCTACTTGGATTTAAACGAGGGTTTCAGACTGACGCTACTCGTTTAGCTTTTCTTTACACTGAGGCGCTTATTTATCAGCCGTAGTAACGGAAACTACCAGCATCGGTAACTCGTAACTCACTTCATTCGGTCGCCCACCTGGGCTATCCTCACTACACTCCCAATCCTGCAACTGACGCTAAACTAAGCCTTGAAAGAACTAGACTGAGCTGCTTCCTTAGGTTTCACTCCAGGTTGAACTCATCTCTTCCCAGGGCTCTCTTCACTTCAAATAGGAAGTACTAGGCCTAGCTTTCTTTGCTTGACACATAGGTAGTCACCACCCTTATAAACTATAGGTCCTCGAACCCTTGACTTGGAAACTACTCGCCTTAGAAGTCACCACCCTTTCCCTCGCAGCAGAGGTTCTGCAAGAAAGGAGATGCACTAGCTACTTTACTTGGATTTACTTGGCTTTATTTAAGAAGATAATACAGATTTCCGACTCGAACTCCAGGTTTAGCTTTCCCTTTAGACTTTGCTGACTTGGAAGCCGGTAAATCCACAGCAGACTGAATTAGCAGATGCGGGAACTACTTCCCTTTAGGTTTTCAGTCCATAGCTCTTTCATTTAGAACATAGGCCCAGAGGCCTAGCAGAATGCGAGAAATACAATTAGAGGAAATAGCTAATAACATTCGTTCGCCGACCTCGGCTCCATTCAACAAAGAAGAGTAACAGAAGGCGCTCTTTGCTATACAAATAGGCCCAGCTGAACTGACTTAACTGAAGAAGACAGAGAAGCAGGAGTTGATCTTTACACATCGGTAGTGTCGCTACCACTGCAGGAAGAAAGAAAGCGGATATCTCGCGGGTAACATAGCGTTTCGCTTCCCTCTTAGCATCGGTCACTCCCTGAAGCAGTAACGGGTAACTAGCCCTCCGGTCAGTCCTTGGTTTCTTTCTTCCGGGTCACTGCCCATTCAACAAAATTGGCAACTTGCGTTTCTTCTTTCTTCTCGGTCCGCTTTGGCTCCTGATCTTGAGCTCGCTTTTCTTGGCCTCAGGCTTGGCTTCTTCTTGGGGTCCTTGCCCTTCCATCATGGTCAGCCCATCTTTCTCCAGAGAAGCAATCCGCTCGCTCGAAATCTGTCCCTTCAGTTGTGTAAGAAGGCGTCCACACGATTACGAGTCCGCTCCCGTCGAGCCTCTTCCGGATTCTATTCTATTAAAAAGGGGATTCCCAGGTTCTTTCACTCCAAGACTAGTTGCGGATTGGATTCTTTTATCCGGACTGACTCTAATCGTGATTTTGACTCTATTATGATATTACCTCCCTCTGTCACTGCATAGAGTTATCTTCTTCAATCACCTTTCAATCTCCGAGGGTAGAACAAGGGAAGGTCAAGGCAAGGCAGTCGTCGAAGCTATGGAATAGTTGGTCAAAAGCAGGGTACTTCTTTGTGTGTCAATTGAAGTCATTCTAAAAGTTCCTTCGTTTGTGTCCCAGTTGCCGATCAAGCTAATAAAGACTAAAAAAAGACCAATCACTTGCTTATTCGCCAGCTTGGGTTTCGGTTGCAGATGCGATTGATTATGCCATTCTTGCTTTCGGTGGAAGAGAATGACGAAGATCTAGGCATGCACATGAAGGGAGAGGCCAAGTGATGGGTTACGGTTCTGCGACAGGTGAAGTTTCGCCTTCTTGGGTGACTCTTTCTTTTGATAGCATGCTTTATCGGCGGAAGGTGTCGAATGATGGCTGACTTGTCTTGTCTTTTCGATTGATTGGCTTACGGATGGAAGGTTCGGACAAGAATTCCTAGGCCGAGTGTTGGGCTTTCGGGATCAAAGAATCTTAATAATAGCCTCTCTTACTTTCATCTTTGGTTGATGAATTAAGACTGCCCCTCCATCTGAAAGCCCGAGGGAATAGGAAAGCTATCCACCGGATCTTGGAAACAAGGCACACAGGCCCCTGAGCTCCTTACTTGAATAGTGAAAGACGTATAAGACAATGACTGACTACACAGACGTACGGAATGAACTAAGGGCGGATAGATTACATCGAAAGCTTAACCGCTGGAAGGATAAGTTAGAGCTTGGACAACTAAACTGGAAAGCTTGTTAGGGTTAGGAGAGCCTAGAGAGCTAGAAGACTTGGAAGACTCGAAGACTAGGCTGAAAGGCTGATTCAATTACTCATTCGATTACTGATATGATTGATTTGAAGGCAAGGTAAGGCTAAAGCCCCTAGCTTCGACCGATGGGCTGCTTAGCGATTACGCAATGACTGCTAGAAAAAGGACTCGGTACCTTGGACTGGCATGCTTGACGGATTTGACTAACCTACATACTATAAGACGATCTTTCCTACGAGACGGAAAAGTCAACTCCAGCAAAAGGTCTTGCCGCTGCCTTCGAAGACTGACGGAATAGAGCGATCACTTCGACTGAGAAAAGGACTGGAAGAAAGCGAATCCAAAGCAGACGTCTAGGTGGGGCTCTTTCTTTCACCACCATTCCTCTACTCTTTTACTTCGTAACCTCTGTAATCGTAATATCCGCGACTCGGAGTAAGGGCATCAGCATCAGCTCTAGGTTATGAGGTTGCAGGCCTAGGCACCATACCCATTGCCCTATCCTTCTTGATATTCCATATCTCCTTGGAAGCTTTCCATGTATTGCTACGAGTCGTGTAAGGGGCATTTCCTTCAAATCTCCGTCTTGCTTGGTGATTTCCTTCTTACTGTAGTTCTTGGAATCTTTTCTTCCATTCTTCTAAGCATTCAGTCTTGGTAGTCTCTCCCATTGTTGTAAGTGAGTCTTATAGCGAGTGAATGTGTATGCGGGCTCATTGCCTAGTGTCTTAGTAAGCCGTACGCTTCTTTTCTTTATTGCTCCAGTGAGCGAGTACTTTTTCTCTTTCTAAGCCGTCGAAGTCTTCCAATCGGTGACTACGTTACTTATCTCTCTGGCTATTCCGTATTCAAAGTAGGAAAGATTCTATTTCCGTCCAGTACGGATCCTACCCAGCCTATCGTACGTCTTCCCGTAGCCCCTATGCCCATATCCCCTAGCCCTTAGTCCCTTGTTTCGGTGTAAGGTCTCTCTCTTTTTCTGTCTATCTTTCTGGATAGTTTGTCTTCCTATTCTTTCTATTCTAAGTGGGCCGAAGCCGTCCCAATGAAATCGGTGGACCAAGATGACATCATCGAGCAGAAGCCTTCCCAGTTGAGTTCTTAAGAGAAGAACCAAGCAACTGAAACAATTGTTTTTTAATCATTGACTGAACCATCGTCAAACCTCCACCAACATTGGATGATAGAGGGACGTTCTACCAGCTAAATAGATCCACTTGGCTTTCCAACCTGCAAGTCTTTGCTGCACTTTCTTCATTATGTAGTTAGTTTTCTTTCTTGACACTCTTTTGTGAATCAAAGGCACTCCTAAAGTACTTACCAATATCATTGGTATGACAAATATTGGTAATTGCTTTTATTGAACTAATAGTACGAATCCGAGTCTTAGGACTCAGAAAGAACTTGGACTTAGAAAGTTTTTAATGGTACTACTGGTCTGCTTTGCAGTAAAAGCCGGTATTTATGGCACTGCTGCCAACAAGAATGCGTCCTCTGGCCTTCCAATGATTGAATAAAAAGAGATAGAGTTTTGACCTCTAGGGAGGCAATGAAATTTGACAGTTTTTGTATACCTATGTCCGTCAAAGCGCTATTTGAAATATAAAATATCCGATACACCTTTTGTAGCTCTTTCTATCTAACATACTCCCTTTCTCACGAAGCAAAACAGATTCTTTGGTGGCAGTGGCACGTCCAGACACCGGATTCCCATCCAAAAGGGATAGGGATGGGCGGGCGTTTAAAGATAGGCATACGTCGCCGTAGAAAGAAGAGATCCATGTTCTACAGAGAAAGGCGGGTCTAGCTAATCCACTCACTCAGAAGAAGAAAGAGCACCCGAACCAAGATCTGTTGAAATAAATCGAGACTCTTATCGGTCTGCCAAAGGTGCTGAAAAGCGCAGCACTTCCCTGGTAAGAAAACGGGGCTTCTGTTTAATTAAGTTTTCCCCTTTTGTGGGGGGGTTGGAACCTCTTGCTCTTATGCTAAGGCAGAGGCTTTCGCAATGGCTTGCGTGGATTCGCACGCTTCGGATGCTGGTCTAGCTTACACCAGACGAAGGAAAAGAAAGATGCACAAAGGAAACTGGAAAGCATTTCTCGGGAAAATTAGTTGTTCAACCCAATCTCGATGAAAATACACACCTACCCTGTTATTACCCCTATAGACTGCTTTTAGGGTGATACTACTTTTACCCTTACACTACGATATTTCTTTATGTTTTGTTTTGTTCGATCACAAAGAGTCAAACCAGCTACCGAAAGATAGAGACTCAATCCGTTACCATGACTGATAGGATGATCAAACAAGGATGAAAAGCTACATGTTCTGCTTCTCCTCTTAGTTAGAGAAGAGGGGAAAGCGCCCTATCTTGTTGGTTCTTCGTCTTTCGAACCTTAACCATGAAAGTCAGTCAATGTTGGCTTCCTCGATTACACAGTTGACCACACGCATTCAACGGTATGGAGTAAGACCTTCTGTTTACAATTTTGAAGAGAAATTCCAGAGATACTCATCAAGTGGACCATACCAAGGTGCGAAGCGAAAGCTCCTTGCTTTTCTGATCTCATTGTGGACGTGTAGAGATAGGCACCTTATCTATGCAATAACGATCTCACTCTTCAAGACAGATTCATGAAAGGTCAATCTACGCCATGGAAGTTTCATTGCTGAATGACTTGTCTGCTACCAACTCCTTCCTCTATGTCTATGGGCAGGGCATCTCTACATGTGAGACCTTGTATACAAATTTCTCACATACCAGATTCCCGAGGAAGAAAGAGAGCTTCTTGCTTTCATGCATAGCAGACTAACAGAAAAGTGATCTCGCTGTACCCGATCTCCCAGCACTGACATTGAGAGAAGAGTGGAACGGGACTTGCTTTATATTATAGGGGACTTCCCTGGATACTTTTCAACTCATATCGGAGCAAGGAAGCAAGTGGCTAAAATGGTGGAAGTTACTTCAGCGCTTGGGGGAAGAGGACTCTCTACCACTGCTGATTGGATCCGGGGATGCTCAAACGGATAACAACAAAAAGAAGAGTGAGGGTTCTATGGTATGGATGGCTTTGGTGAGCATAGCAGGAAAGACCGACGAGAAATTGATGTCTGTAGAAGAAGGAATTGAAAGCTAGGATAGACCTTCAAATCAGCGAGCTAGGAAGGCCAAGGAAAGTATCCAGAACCCAGTTGTGAAGGAAAGGCAGGAATTAGTAAGAAATCTCAAGAGGAACCTGAAGTGACTAGTCCTATGAAGTGACTCGTCCTATATAGTTGGAAGTGGGCATGACGAACCACAAAACATGAGGAAAGATCCTTAGGGGCAGATGCTTTGCTACAGTCCCATGCATGTGTGGGTTTCAAGGAAATGAAGGAAAATTTAAACGTATCCAGGGCGGGAATAAAAAGTGGCTCTCTAGAGACGGAAAGGAGACCCTCATAACATAAAAGAAGTGGCCCAGGCGATTCTCTCGTATGCAATGAGTTGGTTAGTTTCATTAGCAGGTTATGGGGGCGGGGTAATAATTATAAGCTAAGGAAAAGAAAATGCATTGGATGGGCTGGAATAGAATTGCATCCAAAAGAAGAATGGCGGGCTAGGTTTCCTAGACCTTAAAGCTTTTTTCCATGCAATGCTAGCAAAGCAAGGTTGGAGGCTTACAAAGGCTCCGGAGTCATTATGTGCGCGTGTGCTGAAGGCAAAATCTTTCCCAGCTTGTTTTTTTCTTTTTTGGAAGCGAAGAAGTTGGGTTGGGCTCGTGCCCTTCGTTTACATGGGGGAGTCTGCTCAACTCAAGGGTAGGTTCTCAATAAGGGAGTCATCTGTCGCATTGGGAGCGGCTTGTCGGTGAAAATAGGGGATGACCCTTGGTTGCCTATCTCTTGGAACAGGAAGGGTGTCACACCAAGAAGCTTAAATATTTACGAAGAAACATTTTGATGGGAACTAAAAAAGCATCATACCGGAACTTGGAACGAGGAGTTGATCAGAGACAACTTTATTAAAAAAATATGCAGAGATGATATTGAGCTTGCCTTTAAGCAACAGAGTAGATGAGGACTTCCTTGCTTGGCATTACGATCGCCGAGGCCTTTTCTAGGTACGTAGTGCATACTATCGAGATGGAATATAAGCTAAAGATGACAGACCAAGACAAGACACGAATGAGTCCGAAAAGACAGAGTATTAAAAAGGCCTCTTGTTCTAATATTGGAATTCTCCTAATCACTGTGTTCCCTCAATTAAGTAAGGTGCTTTGACCAATGGATATGGATTCATTCCTCAATAAAGGGATAAAGCATGAGCCCAGCCCTACTGCTCTAGCCTACCGCGCAAGGAGAAAGAAGCCACCCACGGATTTCGCATTTTCGCAGTCAGATTCAATTCCACCTTCATCAAAATGGGGTTTAGGCGGCACTCCTCGTTTTACTTCTTCCAATGCTTATAATCACCTTCGTTCTAAGCCTGGTTTTTCGAAAGAAATGTTAGCTCTAACCGCTGTTCCACCTGTTCCTAGGGTGGAACAAAAGGTCGGCTGAAACGGGGGTTTCACGTCTATTTTGTGACGAACAATGAATGTGGTTAGATTCCTGCCAGGTTCTATATCGGGTGAGGGGCGAAGAGTCGTGAACTCCACTTGGTGGCTTTGGAACACTCAAGGAAACGCAACGAGCAAGAACAGGGTTGCTCGAAAGAACAAAAAAGCTTCTATGAGAATTACCATCTTCACCCGATTAATTTGATTTCTCGGGTTCTCATTTTGATTCTTTGTCGTAGGATATCTCGTCGTCTTTCTCTTCTACAACTACGCCTCGCTCTGATTCGATTGCCCATTGCTTTACCTTCCCTGCGAAGGAAATCCGCTCTTTCGCGCTTCTCCTTCCTTCATCTTTATCTTCCTTAAGTGCTCTACTCGAAAGGCAGGAGCTATTGTCCAACTTTCTTTTATTTAATTGAATAGCTCTACCTCCTCGGTTTGGAGAAAGCAAAGCCCCCTACCTCTCCACCTTCGCTTAACAACAAGGATCGCATGGCCGTACCGTTATTAGATTGCTTTTCTTTGTCTGATGAGGATAGTAAAATAGATAGAATATAATAGGTAAGAGTTCAATGGCAAATGCAATCCCTCCTGTGAGAAAGCCTTAACTTAACTTAGAGATGTATTTAAAGTTTTCTTTCTTTTTCTTTGAAGCTTATAGTGTGAAAGCTAGCTTAGGATAGTGTCCCTATAAAGCAAGTGTAATCTGTAGTTCTAGTGCTTCGCTCTTCTATTCCTAATGTCTTTTCCAGTTTTCAAGCGGAAGCAGGACCAGACCAGGCAAGGATGATATCATTATCATAGCGAATAGGGACTCTATGTTGATCTATGGGTATTTTGTAAGATGGGGGCCATGCTTTGCCTTCGAGTTATTTTATTACTTTTCATCAGTTTATTAGGCAAGCTAGCCTATCAATATAGTTTGAGTTCTAGAGTCAACCCATACCAAAAGATAAGGAAGGTTACAGTCCTTCTGCCTTCCATTCAAAAGTAAGAATCCGATCTCCAGGTTCCCTTCGAGCTCGTAGCTTTCTTTTTTTCTGGGCTCTTCTCCATTCTCCAATCCTAGTGCTTCGCCTTTACCTTTAAGTAAGCTAAGCAAGCAAGAGAAATAGACTTAGGCACGCAAGCATGTGAGAAAATTCCTTTTCAAGCTAGGTTACAACAGGGAAAAACAATAAAGAAAAAGAATGAGCTATCCGCCTTTTAAATGTAAATTAAGCCCGCAGACTAGGGGATAGCGTAAAGAGAAAGGGTTAGGGTAAGGAAGGGATCTAGCAAGAGTTATACCCAAGAAAAGCCATCAACATCTAGATGTATCAAGGGCCTAAGCTGGGTCAGTTCCATACTAACCTGTTCCTTCTTCTTGCGAAGAATGAATTACCTAAATCAGCTACTGCTGGGTTAATAATCCACGTGGGAGTTTTCTTCCATCGCATTCTAGTGATCCAGTTTCTGCCTTTCCTGAGGTAGCAGTTGAAAAGGTTTTTGTTTTGCTTTGATTCTGCTTTCTCTTCTTAAGTTTCCATTGATTGCTAGGCCAGCTCTATCCAAACAAGTTTGAAAGCTGGCTCTTTTTCAGCTGTATATTAAGTATTCTCCAATCTCTAGACCCTCCAGCAATCTAGAAGTCTTTTCCCTGCAATCCTAAGTAAGGGCGGGCATCTAGTGCCAGTCTTAAGAGTCAATCCAATTGAAGAAACAAAAATTATGCTTTTTGGGGGAGGACTGCTAGACTATGTTTTCTTTTCTTCCGGTGAAGTGAAGGAAACAATTCAGGGGAAGAATCGAGCTGCAGAAGCAAGGTATATGTCGAAAACAGTTGAAAAAAGGCACAAATGGCGGATTCGGGTCTTCCTTAGCCAGCATGCTTTTAAGAAGTAGTCTAGAAAGAGTGTATTTCCCCCCCAAACCTTCCACCTTTCCCAGATAAGGCTATAGCAAAGTAAGAGATAGATTTTTTTATTTTATATGGATGTCCAACTTCTCCTAGTGCTTGCTCTGGTCCGCCCCTTACCATAGGCATAGGGGAATTTGATAGTACGCGCGCCTTTCTAGTTTGAATTTTTTTGCTAGTTTGCAGTCATCTAGTTCAATTGCTTCTACTTTCTTTTTAAATTCTGCCTTAGAGCGAGTTAAAGCCAGGCTAGTGACACCATTCAAAAGGAATTGAAAGCCAGTAGTTTATCATAAGCCCAAGGCTAAATCTCAGGGGAAGGATTCTCGTTAGCCAGCAAAGGCTACAAAGCGGTGGGAAAGAGCTAAGGCTAAGGATAAAAAGAAAGCTTTTGATATTTTTTTATAGGCTAGCCAGCAAGAGCAACTAGATCAGGAGTTTAATTCATAGGGTTTGCTAGATCTGTAGTGGCATTCCTAGTAGCAGTCTTTCTAGACGTCCCTCTAGTGGCCATTGCTAAGTCCGCAAGTATACCAGTTATACAAAAAACCCTTGCAGCAAAGCCAATTGCAGTGAGAGAGCTCTTTGATTTCCCCAGCTAGTTTGAAAGCGCAGCGATAGCAGGGGAGAGCACTTAAAAAAGGGAAATCCCCATTAAAATAGAAGAAAAAAGGTATGAACTTCAACTGGCGAACGCTGTTTGCAGAAAGACGCGTTAACCCTTTCCCATATCAAACCGGGGAAGGTAGGAGGGCTGGTTATCTCTACCTTCTGACCTTGCTATCCCTAATACTGACCAAAGCAACTTGGGGTGACAGTCAGTCATTTCCTTGTTTGACATGGCATTGGCAGTGGAAAGGAAAGCTCGAAGAGCGAGGAGAAACAGTAGGTGTAGGTGTAGTAAATCTTTATTAGGGAATCCTTTGTATTGGCTAATCTGTTTTTCTGGTTTCTGGTTGATTCGCAAGTTCATCTCCTTCTTTCTTTGTGGAAGGAGCAAAAGTGACATATATATAACCCCACGATCAAATGCAGTAAGTAATCCCGGAGCAAATGAACTCAAGAGTGAAGAGCACGGATTGCAGCTGAAATGAATGGAAGGTTTTAGCCGGGGAGTGGAATTCTTTTTTTTATTCTTTTTATTTAGGCAACTTAATGACAAGCAGCGGACTGCCAAGTCGGAGTGGAATGGGGTAACGCGGACGACCTTACTCCTGCCTCTCCAGTATCCGCTTTGGGTGGGGCAGGCTGACTGCAACGCTCATCGCGCTGCCTTTCCTAATTTGAAGGGTCTTGACTCATAGATTCAATTCACAGGTATTCGTGGAGCACTAAACGAGATCGAACTCAGTGGATAAAGAATGCTCCCCGAAGTCCTCAACCTTAGTGGCGTACTACATGACTCAATTATTATCAGGCCTATGAGATAGAACGAAGGCTTCTGAGATCGTTAATCTAACTATTGTATTCTATATGTTATTCTTAGGCTTACGAGACAGATCCTAAAGCAATTCTTCCTCCACTTCCCTACAGGTCTCTGTAGCGTATGGAATGGGCAAACGAGGACGACCTTACCGTTTATTCTTTATTTTCATTTTGGTATCTGTTGTGCGAGACAAGCGGACTCTGGCTCCCTCTACACCATTCTCCCCAATTGACACGTCCTGATTTATAGTCCCAAAACGTAAGGGAACAAGGCTCGCCTTCCCCTCTCCCGCTGGTATCCGCAGACAACCGACTGCTGTAAGGAACACGCCCTTTCTCTTTCTAACGAACTGCTCTGATAAGACCATACGCGGGGAAGTGATTTACCGGGATTATTTGGTTCTACTGGAGCAATTGATATGTCGGCAGGGAATATAGGTGACAGCTCACTGGCTCTCGAAGCCCTTTTCCGGGGTAACCAAGTATCATGTTGCATGAATCAATCTTTCTTAGGGTTCCCTAAACAACAATTTTTATTTTCTTACACTATAGTGATTCTTTTTTTATGGTATAGATTCTAATGCTAGAGGCTTCTGCCATCGGCTTTGTTGCAGTCACGAGCTGCTTCGTTTACTGGAGCGTACTGCCTATTTCATGGCCACCCACAACAGAGGAATGGGAATTCTAATTCTTTTATGTCTCATCTCATGGGTTCCCAATCCAAGTCAGTAGATAAGGGGACGAAAGAACTAGAAAACCACTTCGTCGGATCGTCCTGATGAAATATAGGACTTTGTTTCCCCGGTCGATGCAGAAAAGTAGTCACGGATCGAGAGCTTCTCTCGCTCCTTGTATTCTATGTACGGCACTGACCGTACTATTTGTACTATATCCAAACCATTTCTATTCACTGATCAGGGACTTCCCGATGAAAACATAAGGATAAGGGGCTTAAGGCGGAGTCAAAAGAGGAGTTCATTCTTTCTTCTCTTGCTCCAGCCCTCTGGGTAAGTTACCGCTGCTGCTGGGGAAAGAAGCTAAGATCAATCAAAGCGGGACAATAGCAAAAGTCATATGATGGCTGCCTATTCCACTTTTAAGACCGGTTAAGAGGTCTAGACGTGCAAAGATATCTCCGAGACGGAAAAGAGACTCCCCCTCTTCTGATCAGGACAACTGGGCTATAGCCAGACTACGTTGGTAATGAATGGATGGAAATTACACGCACTAGAAAACCTAAATTAGTTGATTAAGGCATTTACCGATCTTCGAATACGTGAGGAATTGCCATTGGTTGAGCTACTTTATATACTATTGTCTCAGGTAAGACTTGACTTGACTCCCTTCTTTAATTCTACATTCTTGAATCTGGGGCATTTCTCTTTTCATTCGCTTTTCGAGGGCTTCCCTCTCCCGATGGTCGAGCCACTTCGTTTCGTCGACTCAACCATGACTTTCTAGGCATTTTAGTAAAGAGGTCAAGGACAACCTCACTCAAGAAAGCTTTCCTAAAAGAAAGAAATTCTACCACAAGACACATCTTAGGATTGGTATTTCCATTAACGCGATGCCTCAAAAAGTTCTTACCGCTGAAAGAGTAAATTAGTCCGGTACGCTCGCTACACAAGAAAATCAATAAGTTAAGTAAGGGTCTGGTGATTGTCCTTTCCGGCTTTACCTTCTATTTAGGAGTCGCTGCGGGCATCCGGGATCGGTCCCGCTACGCTAAGGCTTGTTTCCCAGAAAAGGTTCATTGATTTGAGATTACATAGGTCATCTCCATAACAAGAGTCAGTAGGAAAGTGAAGGAGTGGCCTTAGTCTATCTCATAGGCCGAGAGCAAGCAAAGCCAAGGACAATCTCGCTCAAAAGAGCAGCAGGAAACATCCACGCGAGGATATTGAACTCGCAGCACCTAATGGAATGCGCCCCTGCGGGCGGAAAACTACCTTAATACAATATATTCTATCTTTTCTTGGGAATACTGCTTATAACAGTGGCACAATGGTTCCTAAAGTAAAGTACGAAAGCCATTCCGTTCGTTACAGTAGTCGGTATCTCCAGGGGAGTCCAGAGCGTGTCAGATTAGTGCATCTCGTTCCAGCGCAAGCTTTCCAAAGTAGAGCATAAAAACCACTTGTTAATTACCAAGTCAAAGGTCAATGGGAAAATGAGAGTTGAGTCTAGTGGCTAACTCATAGACCTAAGAACAATAGATACATACTTGATGAAGCGAGTTGCTAGATAAAGACTTCCAAGCTCTCGGGGTAAAGACTTCGGCGCATACAAAATGATCGATCAGAATGCATATCAGTAGCTCCATGGGAATCGGGGGGTCGGTAGATCGCTCCTGCATCCCTTAAAGTTCGCTTTACTTGGTCGAAAAGATCGCAGTGTCAAGTCCGCTCTTGACAAGCAGTCCCTTAGAAAGGATCCGGTAATAGCACTTCCGCTGGCAGCTATCATATATAAGCTATCCGCAGAATCTTAGACTGATGTTTCCCTCTTTTCCACATTGGACACTGGAAGATGGGTTCAATCGACGGGTTGAGTGGTTGTTACCTCGGATCTGTTTCTTTCCAGTACAAGCACTTGATTGTTACTCGTTGGTTCCTTTTTGGGCTTTGCTTGAATCTAAACAACTCGGGAGTGAAAAAGGAGAATTTACCTGCCATTGGACTACGAACAAGAACCTTTTGAGCACACCATTGGTGGTATTAGCCGCAAATAGGATTCGAACCTACGTCCCCCGTACCCCCTTAGATTAGAGTTACCCCAGTGAACTTCCGTTGTTCCGTTGCGGGCCCTGTCGAGACACTGTGTGCCATTCGTTGACCATTGATCCGACCTTTTATAAGAAATTTCTCAATCGATCGTGAAAAAGAGCAACCAACTCTTTAATAATCCACTGATCTAGACTTCATTCGGTTAGTTTAGAGTTGGTGGAACATCCTTCTTTTTAGAAGTATTTGGTCGTTATCCCGACGGGAGAGAAGAGTCAGTTAGCCCGCCTATTTATTCATTTATTCATTTATTGGCGGGAGCATTCCTACCTGTTTGAAAGAGAGCCAAGTCTCGAAAGCAGCCCATTAAATTCGATTATTTTACTTATTTATCCGTTTTTATCCGCTCCTTTTTCAGCTACCATACCAAGACTAGAGGAGAAGGGCAAGTATTTATATTTGCTTTATGGGATATATAATTGATCTCTTTTTCGTATGTTTTATGATTCGTATATGTAGGGATATGGGCGCCATCCTTCTCAGTTAAATGGACTGCTCTTCTCGCTGTTTCTGACTCAATACGTATAGAATAATTATAGCTAGTCTTCCTTCCTACCCCCTTCCCTGGCCGTGGCTGGGGGCGAATCGACGCACTTATTACTTATTCACTTTGGTAAGGGTACCTGGTTTCATAACCGGTGTCTGTGGGTTCGCTTTCCTTGCTTTGGATGTATCCCTCGATCTTACCACTTCCGCATCTGCTACCTCATCAAAAGCAACCGAACTTCCTGACCTTGCCTCTGCTACTACCTCGCTACCTGCTTCCCAATATCAGATAGATTGCATTCCTTCAAGCCCCCTTTCCCAGAAAAATACAGTAATAAAAGGTAAAAGACGGATCCGCGCCTCAATCAGGTCGTGCTCAGTAGTGGTGGGATTCACTAAACCAATAGAAAAGGGCTAAACAAGTCGATCTGCTAGTCCTAAAACGTATTTCTTGTGGTAGGGCTCAGCTCAGGGCGAGAAGCAGGTTTTGAAAAAAAAACTCGTCTTTTCAGCAGCCAAGAACATGATATAACACATTCAATCTTTCCGGGAAAATACCCCTCATTGCTCCGTCCGTTAACGCCTATTATCGAGTGCTAAGCCACTCGCTGAATTACTGCTTGCAGGTCCTGAAGAACGGAAGTCTGATCTTTACATTCATTCTCCTGGGAAGATAGATTATATAATTAGGTAGGTGTACGGCTGCTGACAGGAAAAAGCCGTCCAAGAGGAACGAGAGAAGTGTAGCCTTTTGAGAGTAAAATAGGGTGCCGGGTGGCTAAGGTAGCAATGATCGGCTGCGCCTCACCTTGTTATCCGGTAAGTGGAACCCTGGGGACTCCCGTGGATGGCACTTGATGAGGTTTGA